AACGCATTCGCGACTCTTTGCTGTACACAAAGTCGCTGGAAGCAATTGTTCAAAGATGAGTACAGGAAGCTGACGCTACAGATGCGCCTGATAGTAATGCTTACGAGCGCAGAGCATCAACCAACACGAACGCGAGTCGAGTGAACGGTGGACGGGACGGGTCATGATGACCAACGGCTGGTGTCGGCGAGAACCCTTTTACTGCAGGTTTCAGTGGAAAGAAGCCTGCGAGAAATGTAGCTATGCCGACGAGCGCGAGCGCCAGGGCCACACTGACTCGGGCGCTGATGCATCGCATCCAGGCCGAGTGGGGCGGAACGGAAGTTGACGCTGGAAGGATCCCGCTAGCGCATCTCGTCCGAGTGCGACAGAGGGTCAGGACAGCATGCGCGCCCCACTTTGCTCGCACACGGTGGCACCTCCTGTCGCTCGTGGTGGGCGGCCAAAGTCGCTTGCTGCGCGCGGTAGACTCTCTTCACCCCCCGCTGAACCCCCAAACCATCAGCGAAAATGGTGAACTTTACGGTCGGTGAGTTGATGAGGGCTGTGTGCTGTCCCGAGCGACGGCATGCAGTGCGCGCGCAGGCCTGGGCGGCAGTGGTGGGCCCGCGCAAAGAAAAAACGCGCGCGCGCGTGGCGACGACGATTACACGACGCTGACACCCGCTCGCGCCCTCGTTTGCAGACGAGATCAGGGGCCTGATGGACACCCCTACGAAGTGCGTGTGCTGCCAGGACTATGCGCGGTGGTCATGTCGAGCGAGCCGCTGGCGCGTGCTGACTAGGAACTTTTTTCTCTGTGGCGCTTGTGCACGTCAACAGCATTCGTAACAGTCAGTCGCATCCGAGTCGGCTCTATCGGTAGATTGACCATGCTGACACGCCTTGCTGCACGCTTCCAGTGTCCGTCATCGCCCACGGTCAGTTGCTTGCGCTTGGGTCGACCACGTCGAACGCGGGCCCCGCTTTCGGCTCGAGCTTTGTTCGAGCCAGTCTCGCTCCAAGCATGAGCATGACGAAAGCCTGGGGCCTACATCGAGTGGTCACAGTCTCACCATCATTTCACCCCGCTCTGACACGCGTGAAACCTTGCAGTCGATCACGGCAAGTCGACTCTCACCGACTCGCTCTTGTCCAAGGCCGGTATCATTGCCTCGGCAAAGGCTGGTGACCAGCGTGCCATGGACACCCGTGCTGATGAGCAAGAGCGTGGTATCACCATCAAGTCGACCGCCATCACCATGTACTTCGAGCTGCCCGAGGAGAACGTCGAGGATGTCAAGCAAAAGATCGACGGTCAGCTGTGCCAAATATCATGTCTGTTGACGAGGCGCTGAACGGTTTTGCGCTTACAGGCCGCGATTTCATCATCAACTTGATCGACTCTCCCGGTCACGTCGATTTCTCGTCCGAGGTCACGGCTGCCCTCCGTGTTACCGATGGTGCTCTCGTCGTCGTCGACACCATCGACGGTGTCTGCGTCCAGACCGAGACTGTCTTGCGTCAGGCTCTTGGTGAGCGCATCAAGCCCGTAGTCGTCATCAACAAGGTCGACCGCGCCTTGCTCGAGTTGCAGATCTCCAAGGAGGAGCTGTACCAGACTTTCTCGCGCACGATCGAGTCTGTCAACGTCATCATCTCCATGTACAATGACAAGGCACTCGGCGACGTCCAGGTCTACCCCGAGCAGGGCACCGTTGCCTTCGGTTCAGGTCTTCACGGCTGGGCCTTCACACTCCGTCAATTCGCCAACCGCTACGCTAAGAAGTTTGGTGTCTCACCCACCAAGCTCATGCCCAAGCTTTGGGGCGACAGCTACTTCAACCCCAAGACCAAGAAGTGGTCATCCAAGGCCACCGATGCCGATGGCAACCAGCTCGAGCGTGGCTTCAACATGTTCGTTTTGGACCCCATTTTCAAGATCTTTGACGCTGTCATGAACTTCAAGAAGGACCAGATCCCGACCTTGCTTGACAAGCTCGAGATTGGCTTGACCTCCGACGAGAAGGACATGGAGGGCAAGGCTTTGCTGAAGGTTATCATGAAGAAGTTCTTGCCTGCCGGTGACTCGCTCTTGGAGATGATTGTCGTTCACTTGCCCTCGCCCGTCACTGCCCAGCGTTACCGTGTCGAGACCCTCTACGAGGGTCCTCTCGATGATGAGGCTGCCGTTGCCATTCGTGACTGCGACGCCAAGGGCCCTCTCATGCTCTACGTCTCCAAGATGGTGCCGACATCCGACAAGGGTCGCTTCTACGCTTTCGGCCGTGTCTTCTCGGGTACCGTCCGCGCTGGCCCCAAGGTCCGCATCCAGGGCCCCAACTACGTCCCCGGCAAGAAGGACGACTTGTTCGTCAAGTCCATTCAGCGCACTGTCTTGATGATGGGCGGCAAGGTCGATCCTCTCGAGGATTGCCCGGCCGGCAACATTGTCGGCTTGGTCGGTGTCGATCAGTTCTTGCTCAAGTCCGGCACCCTTACCACGTCTGAGACTGCCCACAACATGAAGGTCATGAAGTTCTCTGTCTCGCCTGTCGTCCAAGTCGCCGTCGAGGTCAAGAACGCCAACGATTTGCCCAAGCTCGTCGAGGGCTTGAAGCGCCTGTCCAAGTCTGACCCGTGTGTCCAGACCTGGATCGCCGAGACGGGTGAGCACATCGTCGCCGGTGCCGGTGAGCTCCACTTGGAGATTTGCTTGAAGGATCTCGTCGAGGACCACGCCGGTGTGCCGCTCAAGATTTCCGACCCGGTCGTCGGCTACCGCGAGACTGTCCAGGCCGAGTCGTCCATGACTGCCCTGTCCAAGTCGCAGAACAAGCACAACCGTATCTGGGCCAAGGCCGAGCCTCTGTCTGAGGAGGTCGCCAAGGCTGTCGAGGATGGCACGATCGGCCCGCGTGACGACTTCAAGTTGCGCGCCCGTGTCTTGGCTGATGAGCACGGATGGGACGTTACCGACGCTCGTAAGATTTGGTGCTTCGGTCCCGACGGCTCTGGCCCCAACTTCCTCGTCGACACGACGAAGGCCGTCCAATACCTTAACGAAATCAAGGATTCTTGCGTTGCCGCCTTCCAGTGGGCATCCAAGGAGGGACCTGGTCAGTTTGCGTTGACATCTTGCCTACGACTGAATCTGACTCTTGTTGTCTATAGTCGCTGAGGAGCCAATGCGCGCCACCCGATACAACATCCTCGATGTCACGCTCCACACTGATGCCATTCACCGTGGTGGTGGACAAATTATCCCGACATGCCGACGTGTCGTCTACGCCGCCAACTTGTTGGCCAACCCTGGTTTGCAAGAGCCTGTCTACCAGGTCGAGATCCAGTGCCCCGAGTCTGGCCTCGGCGGTATCTACTCGACCTTGAACAGGAAGCGTGGCCATGTGTTCTCAGAGGAGCAGCGACCTGGCACTCCTATGTACACTGTCAAGGCTTATTTGCCTGTCAACGAGTCGTTCGGTTTCACTGGCGAGCTCCGACAAGCGACCGGTGGTCAGGCCTTCCCCCAGGTGCGTTCAGTTCTCCGGCCCACTTCTAAGCTCTGCATCCGCTGACATTTCTCCTTATTCTTCAGATGGTCTTCGATCACTGGCAAACTATGGGAGGTGTCTCAACGGAGGCTGGCAAGGTCAACGAGCTTGTTACCGAGATCCGCAAGCGCAAGGGTCTCAAGCCCGAGATTCCTGGCTTGGACAACTACTACGACAAGCTCTAAGCCTGTGCAGTTTGTTCCTAGCGTTCTCGATCACAAGTCATGTACTCGATCGTCTGTCACTTGTCTTCTAGTACATTTGTCGTGGTTTTTTCGATTTCTCTGCGCTGCCGTGCAACGAGCTATGTCTTTGGTTTCATGGTTTTCTTTCGGACTTTGGTGGTCCATTGATTGGCAGCGCATGGACAGTGCAGCGAAGCGTCTCTTCTACTGTTTTATTGGTCAGAGCACGCCACGCACAAGTCTGCGGGTACCCCAACCTCAAAAGAAAAGGTGGACCAAATCAGCGCGCACGTGACTATGGCCTCGATATCATCAACAACCCGACGCAAAAGGGGGGGATTTCCCAGTTCACTTTGGTTCGAGCGCTGCCTTCTCGACTATCTGTGAGCTGGGCCCGTGAGGAGCAGTGCGAGCGACTGTCGTGCCTGTTTCGCAAGCACGTCGTCGTGAAATCAGGTGCATCGGGTAGCTCTGGTCCCGAAGACTGAGAAAGGAATGCAATGATCATACATGCTTTCTCGATGTCAAAAATTACAGTAGGACGAAAGGCGCTCATCACCGTTTTTTTTTTTTTTTTTTTTTTTTTTTTTTTTTTTTTTTTTTTTTTTTTTTTTTTTTTTTTTCCTAAACAGACTATGCATTGCAGTGGCTCACCTGGTCATCAAATAAGGCCATTTTCATCATAACTGTCTACGCTCAAGCTGAAATGACACTCTTGCGTCACGTTGGCCAACTCAAGAACTTGGAAAGGTTTTAAACCTTCTCCTTGCTCGGAAACTGTCACGTATTCGGCGACGGAGGACACGCACCATTGTTGCTTTCTCAAGCGCTGCTTTCATTGTTTCTGAAAGTGTCCGAGAGTCTTTCTCGTCCCGCTTCCTCGTAGTGTAGCACGCTGTTCATGTTGCGTCGTCGGCGCTGGTTTGAGAACAAAGAGTGCTCTCATGGCATCATGTGCTGTCAAGTCGTCAGCTTACAATCTGCTGCCGTCCCCCAATGGCTAAAGCATCTCTCTCTCTTGCATCGTCCGTCCAGACAGACTCAAAAGTACGGTCTCCGCGCAAAGTCAATCACGTTCACGACTGCGATTCATTGGCAGCGCAGAAAGGCGACTGCGAAACGGGCGCGAATTTCTAAGAACAAGTGATTTGCTGTCATAGGCAGCAAAAAGAGACGCGTCTTGCAATGCGCAATCTCTTTCCAGTGTTCCTTTTCAAAGTGCGGTAAGCAATTCTGAATTTAAAGGTAGGCGATTCTGAATTTAAAATCCTAAAAATGTAGTTTCCCCTGCGGGGGATCGAACCCCGGATGTTCACGTCTCAAAAGATAATTTGAAAAATATAAGCGTAATGCGTTAACCGACTGCGCCACAGGGGAGAAATTGGTTTCAAGGTTTGTCGCGTGTATACATGCTCATCAGCAAATTTCTCCAAGTCACGTGACTTTGACGGCACAAACTTGCACGTGGAGCCTTGCTTTCATGAATCAAGAAGGCAGTGAGGACATGCGGCGAGCAGAGGGAAAATTGGAGCGCCCGCCAAGACAGCACAAGGGAAAAAGGTTTCCAAACCACTTCGAGAGCACAATGTGCCTTAAGCTGCCTTCGGCTTCTCGTATGAACTTTCAAGTCCTTTATGTGATTCAATTGACAATAACATGTATTTCATTGGCCCAGGGCATCACAGGGTCTAGCCTCCAAACTCGTTGAAGAGTGTGCAACGCAAGCGATGCTTCAGCGACTGCTTTCTGATGCAATTTTTGTGCTAGTGAACGGGTACTCTGGCCATCACCTCGGACCACTGCCGACTGCTCGCCATCCTCCATGATATGGACCAATCCAGAATCTAGTTACGCCACCGAGCACACGCAAGACTCCGAAAAACGAGGGACTCTTTGTTTTAGGGGTATACGACAAGCGATTGACTCGACCGCCTGTCGGAGTCCCACACTGTTGAAGCTGAGACTTGTGAAGCTGCGGACTCTTCTTCGTCCGTAATGGATTTTTGTTCTTCCCCCGTTATATTCTGTAGATGACCAAGTGATCAATTGCAATGGATAGTTTGTTTAGAAAAAAAAGCCGACTGCTCAATGATCATAAGGCATGCGCACAGCTCTCCCTCTGCAGTCTCAGTTGAAACGTTTGGATTTCGTGCAAAGCATTGAGCCGTATTCAACTCGAATGAAAAGGCAATGGTTCCGACAGCTCATTACCCTCTCAGCTTGCGCCAGGTCGACAAACTCAGGATTTTCATCCTGATGCCAGACTTCGCTCAAGATTCGGAAAAGGCTGTAGAGTCCTTGCCATGTAAGGATCGTACGGAAACCCTATGACATGTCGATTTAGAAGACAGTGCCGTCCGCCACTGATTCGCAAGGATCAGCGATTATGATTACCGTCTTCAGTCAATGTAAAACGCACCGTATCTGAACGGAGGACCGCCAGTCTTTGGTCTGAGCTTCTTGGCGATTTCGCGCCCCTTTGGTGCAATGTCAAGCCGTGAGTTCGAGGTACTGATTACCGGCTACTCACTGCTTTCCACGTGCCGGCTTCGAGCACTTGAGGGAGCGTGAGGTCGACACCAACTCTGGCCCGGATCCCGTCGGCGAGCTTGTCGAGCATGATGATAGTAATGGCCCGCATCTCGACAACGGCAGAGTGCGACGGGTCGAGAGGCGGCACTTCCAGCAGAGAAGGCACGGGCTCAGAGAGCCCGAAAGACTGCAGGAGCTCCGGCATTTTGGGCTTGAGGAGGCCGAAGTCGATCAAGAGACCGCCTGATCTCGTCTCTGCTCAGCCCGACAGCACATGTTTCAAACGTTTGACTGACCATTGCGGTATTCTGGAAGACCTGTCATCTTCTCCTTGCCGATGATCTTCCATGACAAGATAGTCTCCATCCTACAAGTCGTGTTCAATGATGCTCCGCGTACTGCGTACTCGACAAGCATGCTTACACTTCGATGAGAGAGTACGTAAGCCACTGGCTGAGTTTATGGAATGACACGAACGCGTCCGCATCCTCGAGAGCGGTGCGCTTGAGGCAGTCAACTTGCCACACATCGCCAAGCGGGATGCCGTCAATCTTGCTGCGAGCGGCTGGCCAGACTCCAGCCAATCCATTAACGATGATATCCCAGAGCGTGTCAATTTGCACGGCTATTTTGAATGAAGCTGGAGACGGGATTTGCTGCGAAGTCGAATGAGACAACAGATAATCGACAATGTTGCCTGGTCGTCGAGACATGTCGATAGGAGATGAAAAGTATCGCTCGTTCTTTGGATCCTGGAGAACGTCGGCGAGCCGCACGAGAAGTTGGGCTCTTCCCTCGATACCGGTCATCGGATTTGCGTCCGAAACTTGCATCGCATCCGATATTTGCTGGGTCGTGATTCTGGCCAATCCGTCGGCTGTCTGACCAGCATAAGTTGCGGCAAGCGCGTGTCAAGGTGAGCCTGCACTGACCGTCGACCCTGCAATTCTGACTTTCTACACCGCTGAACAGACCGTTCTCAAACATTTCCAAGCTGCCGACGGCTAAACCTTCACTTCTCGTAATCGGCTCGCCACCGTCCTTGGGCTGGAATCTCCACACGTCTCCAGCGCCTGCATCCATGAGGACGGAGCTCACCATGAGATCGACCATTCTGCGAGCAATTTCGATGTTGTCTACCTTGTCGTTATCCCACTGCTTTAAGAGCGGGTCGATCCGGTTGCCAACAAAGTGTCTCCACCGTCCATGTGGCGGGATCGAATCGTAATCTGCGCCATAATCCCTCTCGATGAGCTGACAGACGAATGTGACTATATCATCTTGCTTGGACAGGTCGATGGTCCAGTAATCGAGTTCGTCGCGCTGTGCGAGGTCGTACACTTTATTGCAGCGAGCCCGAATCGAATCGAGCGACTTGAGGTAATCAATCACGGGGTTCTGGGCTATGAAGGTCATCCTGGCGAGCTTCAGGTGAGGTAGGCCGGATCGTCGGCCGAGTTGATTGACTGTCGAGTGAGCAAATCTCAAAAGCGAGCTTCAAGAGAGCCTCTTGGAAATCTTTGGCTCTATATGCCGGACGTCGTGGCGTCGTGTAAGCCTGTGCTGAGGCGTAAGGGAGACAAGCGGGTCCGGTGGGGGCGCGATACGCGATCCGGCCGAAGCTCTGCATATATGCATTTGTCAAGTCTGCCTGTGAGCGATTGAATGAGTACAAAAAATTGTCGCGGTACTACCTTATCTCTTCAGACACACTGCATATCAAAATGGCATTGCTGAAACACACGGAACTTTGATGAGCACAGGGCTGATAGCCTTGCCAATGCAGCATACACAGCTATTTTCCGTCGACATGTCGCAGAACCATGGCTAATCGTCTGACTGCCAGTGCTCTACCTTCACTCGTCGGCTCTATCCCGGCCCTGGATTGATCCAGCACTCGTTGAATTGCCGGAGTCATTCCGTAAACATCGTCCGTGTATGTTCCTTGTTCAAGATAGATTTTGATGGACGAAGATTCAGGTTGAGCGAGCAGCGATCTCAAGTATTCGCGGTCGGCCAACTCGAGCGAAGATACTGACGCCACCAGCTCCGATTCCGAGTCCGACAGTTCACTGTCGGCACGTGATTTTCCTTTGCTACGATCCCATTCTGACGCCGGAGGATCGCGAGGCATGGCAGAGTCTCGCTGATGATTAGCCAATTGTGACTGCTCGAGCTGTGTCTGCCAATCGCCATAAATTGCCTCCGTCATAGCTGCTTGCCCCGAGAGTAGAGCTTGTACATCCTGCCCGTCCTGCCTTGTTCCGATTTGATTCGTTCGAGCGTGGTTCGCGCCAGGTCGATTGTCACCTTGCCAACGTGCGGGAACGTTTGCCACGTCGAAGCTGGTTGAGCCATTCACGAAGCGTCCAAAGTCTTCATCCGTGCCGCCTCCTGCAGCTGGCCATTGCTTATGCTGCCTGAACGACGACGCCGCAGCATCCGAGCTCGACGGCCGGGCTTCACGGTCGCGGTGAGCTTGATGCGATGTGCCCTGACTGAGAGATCGAAGCGCAGCAGAGGAGCCCTTTGAGGTGTCCATTGCTTGCCGAGAGCTGGTGGATGAAGGGAGAAGAAAACCCCGGGTCACGTGACATGTATTCGGCGCCAGCGACCCCAGATAAAGATAGATTCACACACTGTAAGGTAAGACTATTCTCAAGCCAAATCACATCGACTTGCATTCGAAGGCATGTCTATTCTGCAAAGTCTCCTGATCCTTCTTTCGCTGCTGCCGAAACGAGAGTAGGTCACCAGTCGGCGGATCTGGACCGAGTTGGGCTGTTGACATGATCTACGATGCGTGACAGTGCCTCACAATCCTATACCGTTGGCGACATCGCTCGACCAAGTCTACACGCCAACCTCGCTCGCGACGCAGGGTCAGCGTTGGGACGAGCTCGCCCGGTCCTTTGAGCGTGACTATGGCGTCAAACCTCAAAAGGTTACTCGTGCACCTGGCCGAGTCAACATTATAGGTGCGTGGGCCGGGGCTGGGCGTTGAAGTCGCTAGGGGCCAAGTGGGGTTCAGACCTCGCTTGCGCCGTGCACGCGCCTGCTGCAGCCCGCCAACCACCTCGAGACTGATGCTCAAGTGCTCCTACAGGCGACCACATCGACTACTGCGGCTTGTAAGTGGGCGCCAGCTCAGTAGACGACTCGCAACTGACGTCGTTGTGCCACTCGCGACGCTCGCCTCATTCTCGGTCACACGCAGCTCCGTCTTGCCCGCCGCAGTCGAGCGCGATGTCCTGATTGCATATTCAACCTCTCCGAGCTCAACAGACAATCTGCCAAAGCCTTCACAAGCAGGCAGGACCGTCGTAGTCCTCCGCAACGTCGATGAAAAGTACACCGACACTCATTTCGAGGTGGACGTGTATTCGAGTGGCTCACAGCTCTCATTGCCTCAAGACCACCATTGGAGCTCGTACTTTATCGCGGGCACAAAGGTCGGTCATTTTTTGGAAGAACCTGTTTCAGATTGCTCGGCGCATCGACACTGATGTCGTGCTGTCGTTTCTCAGGGCATTCTAAAGCATATGCATGATCATCCTGCCAAAAGACAGTCGAAACAAGCGCCAGAATTACTTCTGGTCAAAGTCTGGGGCACCGTTCCCGAGGGATCAGGGCTCAGCTCATCGTCGGCTATGACGACAGCCAGCGCCATTACGATGCTAGAGGTCGTGGGCCGCCGAGAAGGACTTGACATGGTTGCGAGGCGGGCTGTGACAGAAGTAGCCATCGAGAGCGGTAAGTCGCAGTCGTGCTACGCCCCGTCAGCACTTCTGAATGCTCACATCTCGATAGAACGTCTTGTCGGCGTTAATTCTGGCGGAATGGAT